TAATAATAATAATAATAATAATAATAATAATAATATTCAGTTACACGACATAAGCCCTGCTCAGGAACAGCATCTTTCCGGAAAATTCCAGCCTTGTGATTCTCAACGACTGGTGATCACTGCTGTTGCAATAATGCTTTTGTTGTCGTATAATGACTAGGTTTACGATTAAACTAAAAACAAAAACAGCATTACGAATTCACATCCATAACGTAGACTGGAGGACGATCAGTTCCAAGCGACTGATGTACTGCTACGTAACCATCATTTCCATTTCCTGGCGGACGTTTCAACAATTTCCTTAATCTAGCAATTTCTTCGTTTGCCCTATCAAGATCTCCAGCCAATGCTGACTGCCTAAAAAACAATAGCGACCAATTACTGCATTTTTTTACTTCATCCCTTCGTTATGGATTGTAAAAAAAATTCGCAAAACTTACCTTTCTTTTAACTTTTTAATATCAGTTTTACATGTGACATTCTGTCTGAGAAGATCTAACTTTTCTGTTTTTAACTTTTCCACATCTGTAAGCAATTCGTCCAATTTACGTGCTTCATCCTCATGAGATGATACAACAGCTCCATCAGCGCAAAAACTGCACGATAACCGATTGGAATGTGGCACTTCAGTTGACGACATCGATTCCTAAAATGCAAAGCTGAATTCTAAGGAAAGTTAGTGCCAAAAACACATTCATTTTAACGTTGCATCACTAAAGCGTTAAATCACCACTGATTTGATTCAAACAGTATATCTCTGCAAGTACAGAATGAAAATAAAAATAGATTCATTTAAATATATGCCTATGCGCAGCCCTTACCATTCCAGTGTCAGAATCGTGTTCGTGCTCATGCTCATGCTCATGCTCATGTTCCAGCTCAACACTGTCATTATCGGATCCATCCCAGTCTGCATTACGCTTCCTAGATTGCAGTCTTGTTTAAAACTAACCAAAAACATTTCAGTGACAGCTTTTAGGCAAACACTAATTTCTTCTGCTTGAAGACAACAGCAGCCTTCTATGTTAATCTCTAAATTTGTATGCTGACATGCCATTTCTGAAGATTGTATTACACATAGTAATTCTTGAAATCAGTTAAACTTGTTAGATAGAATGCTCTTACTGAATTTCATGATGGTGAGAAGCATTGATTGAAGAATTTCGGGTGACGATTTTTTTCTGAACTCCTCCAACCATTGCAACCGATGACGTTAATGGCTCCTGTTGTGCCACTCTGGGTCTTGACTCATAGGCACCTTCATAAAGCACTCTAAAAAACCTTGTTTTAAAAAATATGGCAAGAAATCAGCACAATGCAGTAATTCATGATCCTTCACATCAGATATTTAGGAGTCAACGCACTAAACAGCAAAAGATACAAAGTTGATTTCCTTCTGTTCCCAAATTAATAATCAAATTTTCTCTTCTTCGTTCAGTGGATTTCTTTTAATTTTTGAGTAACATTTACTTTATTTTAAAAACTAACTCATGGAAACCATTAGGAGAATTCCTTTGTAAAATGCTACTTCCAGCACCGCTAGTCGAAGATGTAGAACTCTTTGACAAAATTTCAGCATTTGGTACTGATTTACGATTGAAACCATTTGACCTTCCTGGGCTAGACAATTCTAACGTTGAAGCTCGAGTGCCGGCAGAACTCATTTCGTGAGACACTGAACGTGACCTACAGCACCAACAGTTAGAGAAGTAAAACTGCACCAAAAAAATATTTCAGAAGAAGTGAGGAGTTTGGCTCAGGTGAATACCTTCCAGTAATAGCTTTCTTTACTGAATGGAAAAGGCCCAAATGGGGGGTCGAATCAGTTGTTTCCAATAAAGGAATGCCATAAAATTCAGCTCTTTCTTTCAGATTTCCATAGAGAGTATCAAGGAGTGATGATCTTGTTCTTTCCTAAAAATTAAAAAATGCGTTGAAAATTTGCAAATTTATATATAACCTCAACGATCTTCCAAATAACTCAAAAAATGTCGCATCTTTTTCAAGTGGCGACTTACCGCAAGTTTGGCAAATTTGTCTGACTTGTAAGCGGCATTTTCAGCATTGATCAATTTTGTAAGCAAAAAATTGCGAAATTCCTGGCCCTTTCTAAAAATTGATGGTGCTGGCAAAGTTGGACCAAAGAATGGAACATCATCTCGAGCAGTTACCGACACCTGAAGACAAAAGCAAAAAATTTGCTAAACCGGTGAGAACTGGATGGTCTCCTTTGTCGTGCTGAATAAATCTGATACAATAAATAAATAATGAGGGCCGTAAAATCATTTGCTAGGCAAAAGTTTCCAATAATTTTTAATAATAAAAAGAAACTTACTCGATATCGAACTTTCTCAGTGCACGAATCGATTGGTTGAACAACAATAAATGCATGCAGGAAATTGCTAGCTATCATTGTCGGTGAGAATGGCGTATTTTCTTCCTAAAAAACATACTTTTAAGTAGATTACGTGGAAGATTATGTTTTTGAGTACTAAGTTTGACATTACAACAAAAGAGTTAAATTATTGCATTAGTGAGGCAACAGCTTGGCATTGCTCTACTTCTCAAATTCACTTGCTTGAAAAACTACGGCGACAATGTCGTTTCCAATGTGCCGTTTACGTTGCAGTTGTTGCGTGTCACCGACAGTGAATGGAAGCATTGTCGAAACATGGAACATTACTTCACGTTGTCTAAACTTGCAGTAAACCGACTCCGTGCCAGTTTGCCCATGTTGCGTATCCAAGCCGCCTCGGTAACCCTAAAAAGTTAATCGCTTTGTACAGTTATTGCAGGCAAATTGATGTTTCATTCAGCATGGTGGACGTAATTATACCTTAAAATTTTTCAGCAGCACACGATCCCCTAACACTCCGAGAAACTCGTCAAATGCAGCAGAACGACATGCATTTCCGAAAAGCTCTTCTTCCGTTGACTGAAGAACACAGAAATGAAATGATTACTGATTACACACACAAGCAGTTTTAAGATGCACAAGTCAACAATAAATGGATAGGTAAGAGGCATGTGAAAAAACCTAAAGCTAAAAGCGATATTTTTAGTTACAATTGATGCAAGGAAAAAGACATATAGACATCAACTTTACCTGGCCAAATTTCTGATAAATAACACCAAATTTATAGGTATTGGTGAGAACATGTTCATCGTACTGCAGGATCATTTCACTACCGCCGGGAAATGCAACTGGGCAAAATCGGTCTGCCATGACTTCATCGCACAGTAAACGAGCCATTCTACTTGCTGATGGGCGATCCCCCAATGCTGAAAAAAAAAGAAAAAAAAAGTAGCAAGAAATGACTGACGACTATTATTCGATTAAAACCAAAAATACGGTAACACACTGTTAGCTGCTATTAACCTGAAGCTGGAACAATCTCATGGACTGTTCCATGACGCGTCCTGAGCATTATCCGAAAGTGTTCTTGAGATGAAATGGTTTCTGTTCGAACAGATAATACAAGAGGACCGATATTGTTATCCATAGCGTAAAAATCATGATGTTCCTAAAATTATTTTAGATAACGATTCTTTTTTCAGAAAAAAAATACATTTATTTATTTATTTACTTATAAAATGATTTGTACAGATTTGCAATGAAAGCAGTTGAAACAGTAGAAAGATCTACAATAATTGACCAGAGTACAGATGCTGATGAATCAGCAGCAATAATTAACTAACAGTTTTTTGTTCCACTAACCCTGCCAATAAAATGCCTTTTGTAGCAGTGTGAGGTATCATCAGTTTCCAGTTTGAAACGAGCACAACTACTGCTGGTTGTCGGCATACAGCCAACAATATCGTCGTCGATGTTGATTGTACAGCTGCTGACCCCATCCATCCAGTATCCACCACCGGTTGGTAATACAATTTGTGGATAAGGGCCAGATCGGCCAAGCACCTAACGTAACATTTAGTTTATTCATCATTTTATTACAAACATTTTTGATCCAATTATATATGCAACATTGTTTTTTGTTATTTGATCCACCGTCTATTTAAGGATTACATTTCATTTTGGCGCCTACTGTAGCTTTTGAAAATCCTTCAAATCTGAACTACAGAAATGCAGGTCTTCTTTTCTTTTTCTTTTTTGAAAAACAAATAACTATATTTAGTTTTAAAGCAATAATATTATTTAAATAATGTTTGATGCCTAAAAATTGTTAACTCAATAAACACAGCCACAGTAAATTTATTTAAAAGAAAAAATAATAGAAGAAGGAAAGGCAGTAATTGAATCAAATAAATACGGTTTTAGACTATTAGTCATACTAAAGTTTGTTCAAATAAAGTTTAAGCAAAAAAAAAGACAAAAGTTAATGACAAAGAAAAAACACAGAAACAACCGTTTATTATACAGTAATTTATTTCGTCCAAAAACATTTAAATAAGTATTTTTTTTCTTTTTTTTTTTTCGAAGAGTATACTAAAAAACTTACATCTTTAATGGTTTCTCTGGCTTTTACGCTGTCTTTTGAGTATCGCCTTTCCGATGTTGACGACTGTAAAAAAAAAA